CAATGTATGTAAGGCTGGCTGCCGATGGTACCTCTTTGCATAGCCTACTTAAAGGTTGAGGAGGTGATGTATCAAATTGGCAGGCTTTTGTACAGCTGGCAAATCACAGCCATAAGGCAGACAAAAAATCTCTAACTGGTGTGTGTAGTGTTAACATCAGGAGTAATTTGTTTTCAGCATTTTTTGCATTGATAAGAGTCAAGAGAAAAAAAGAGGTATGTTTAGCTGTGTGGAAGATAACAAACATGCAGTGCCACATTCCCTCTGTGTGCTCTTTGTTATCAGCAGGACTAGAGGCATTATGTACTGTACAATGAAAGATAACCATAGAGTGAGAGATAGCTGGCTTTGTAGCTCTATTGATTAAATAGGACAGCAGGCTAATCAGTAAAAATGTTACAGGGATGGGAGTCAAGCCACTTGGAAAATGTGAAAGATTAAGGCTATGCTTGAAATGTTAATTTTTTAATAAAATTGTAAGGCAGAAAACTGTTTCCTTAATTATGTATTAAAAGAGAAAAAAAAAAAAGAACCAAAAAAACCAACCAAACAAAAAAAAAAAAAAACCAAAAAAAAAAACCTATGCACAGAGAGGTATCACTCCACTACCAATTTGCAAAGGTAATAACACTACATTTATCTGAGACAGTTACAAGACAAGACATAATACAGGTTTGAACCCTTCCTAAATAAAATTCACAGGTTTAGAGTTTTGCTATGAACCATGACTGACATGGGGATAACTCATCAAGCAAATGGGTATACCAACTTCCTCGAGACTTTGAGAGGGGGTTTTGCATATAGGAATAATTAAAGACTACAGAAGCCAGTCATATAAAAAAAAAACAAACAAAAAACCCTCTACAAACAACAACAAGCTTGAAGCAAAGAAAACAACAACAAAAAAAACCTAAACAAACAAGGAAAAAACCCAGCTCTAAAACATCATTAAGGCTTTTGCGGTTTTTTCAGACTTTTGTTTATTGCTTTGCTCAGCTCCAAGCATTTAGACTAATATTTTTCACAGCATATATCTGTGTCAAGATGAATTTGCTTGTAGGTAACACATTTATATAATTTGTCTTCCAAGCTCTTGCTCAGGCTGGGGCTACAAACGGACAGATCCAGACCGAAATACGATGGATGTGCTAGGTGTACGGCCGCAGCACATACTGCAGAAATTCAGGACAAGTCTGCAGGAGCAGCCTAGAATTATGAGGATACAGAGGTACTGTAAAGTCATTATTTTCCCTTCTGACTTTTGGCTTTGAGGTCTGTGCTGCATCTCCTAAAGGCACAACACAGACTCTCACCTGACGTGCTTAGCATTGGAGTGGAGGATTTCAGTGAAAAAAACTCCTTCCATGCTACTAATATCTCTGTTCTAATTTTATAAAATCGTCCATGTTCCTTTGGGGCTTCAGTCATAATCCTCTTTGGTGGGGTGTAATCTACTGTATCACTGATCCATCTCTCCCTGCTAGGAGCTTCCCCTGCTACCTGCTGTCTTGCAAGGTAGCAATTTACTGTCGACAATGATACAGCCAGTAGTTGGATATGATGACTCGATATAGCAATTTCAGCTCCTTCTTGCCAATATATGTTGCCAAGGATTCATATGAACGTCTCTCTAGACTTCATATTTGCCCCAAAAATATTGGGAAGGGAAAGGAGAGGGAAAAGGTCACAGAAGGCACAGCACTTGCATTTCTGCATTGGTGAACGTGTTAGTCCCATCTCTCTGGGATGACACATTTTAGATGCTTATTGGAAGTTAAATACATTGCTTTACCCTGTCTTTATCCATTCCTATACAGAACGATGCCATTTAGAAGCAACTGATACAGCAATTTATACTACGCTTTTGGCAAATTGAACTAATAAACAGTAACAGCTTAACACAGTTTTAACAAATCTGCTCATTCCTCCACAGGCTCACTCCTCCACTCCTGCCTTTGCCAGGCTCCTGGAGCCTACAGCAGCCCCTTGGCAATACTCAGCATTTAGACTTCGAGTTGTCCTTGGTCTTGGAACAAAAATACTCCCAGGCAGATTCTGGGTTTAACCTGAACTGGGAAGTGAGTCATGATAAAGTAAAGGTCACACAGACGAATCTGTAGTTGATCCTGCAGCCACTTAAATCAGTGCCTAAACCTCGTTCTTTTAAGAGGAAGCAGGAAGCTTTATTATGCTGTTGCATGTATAGCGAGAGTGCCTTTTATGTTTCTTTACATAGAAGCAGCCCCAAGATCTTTGTCCAAAACACCTCTAATTCGTTAGAGCCAGTAATACTGGGAAGGTTTCAGATGACCCCTGGATCTTTCAGTAAATTATTTTATTACACATTTGCTTGACTTTCATGCATTTTAAAGTGAAAATAGAAAATCCAGAGTTTTTTCTTCAGTCCCTATTTATTTAATATTTTATTTAATAGATTAATAATTAAATCTAATTAACAGACTAGCCACTTCATCTTCTTTTTCAGAACTCACTGATTCAAAGGTAATTTTTAAGTAATACAGATATGTATTAAAGAAATCAGTTATACCAGTTGATTCATTGAGATACTAGTAATGCCTGTATTTAAATTACTGGGTGTTCAAACAGATTTGGTTCCATGAGTATAAACCCCATGACATATTATTCCAGTATGCCTTAGTCCTGTTGACCAATCAGTTCCCACTGAATCTGTTCCCATGAACACAGGGCGTGTGGTGAAAGAAGCTTCACTTGTAGTAACTACAAAAAGCTGCTAATCATTTCAGTCTAAATGAATACCTTCAACAAAAAACATCTTTACTCAAAGAGTCGGCGGTTTTCTTTACCATGTGCCCGTGTATTAGTTTTCTTATTATGCATAACATCAGAATATCCTAAGGATGACAGACTGCAAAGTGACCAGAAAGCAAGTGACCAACCCGATATCAATTGGCCCATACTCAAATTTAATTAAACTTCTCCCTGCAACTCTAGAGGAAACCAATTTCCCTCATTATTGCTTATGTGGAAAATATGTGAAATTAATTCTCCTTCACTAAGTTATCACTGCATTGAGCAGACAAACATAGATATAATGTTATTAAAAGTAATGAAATAGGTTCATCAGCAGTTAACGTTAATGTTTTGTGTCATTGGAATCTTGTGTGCAGTTTAGGACAGAATTATTCAGCTTTGCAGCTACAAGATGCAGAAGGCCAATAGCTCAAGGGTTTGCAAAGGTTTTGGCATAAGGCACTACTTACACATGGCTTTCTGTAAATGAAAAAGGGAGGCGAAAAAATGGATTCACCTTGCTTTCCCTCTCATCTTCCACAGAACAGCAAAGAGAGGGACAGAGAAGGAAATAGGGCTTCCTCTCTGCAGGAGATGACGGACTCCTGCAGTAGCCCTGCAGGCCAGTAACACTGTACTGACATTGCCTTTGCTAGTAAGCAGTCACAGGTTTCACTGAGATTGAAAAGTTTCAAGAGCAAGGTTTGTCAGTAGTGATTTGTCTGAACCTTTCTTTAACAACCGCAACTCTGTTTTAATAAAGCATGTGTTACCCGTAAGAGTATTTGTCTAATAACCAGCACTAACAACTACTATCAAGTAGCTATGCTGTGGTGAATTAGGTATTTATGACTCTAATAAAGCAATGTACTCAAGATAAGAAGCTGGTACAACAGCAGGCGTCTTGAGAAGTGGGGACACAGGATGTGATACAGAGGGGTAAGCAGGGGATGGTAAGAGATGAGAAACTGGCTAGTATTGGAGATCCCAAGAAAGTAAATACCTCCCATCAGACTGTTTAAGAAATGCAGATATGGAGCTGAACAAAATGAGTTTTAGGAGTATCAAAGAACAGGATTTTAACATCCCCAGAATACACCATAAGTTCAGATGCACTATCCAGCTACAGATCTAGACAAAGCAAGATATAAAACAGCCTCTAACTAATAATAAAAAAAAAAAAAGAAATAAAGAAAGGAAGGAAAGGAAAGGAAAGGAAGGAAGGAGCAAAAGCCTTTAATATCAAGACGCTGGTCCTCCCAGAACAGGATTCGAGATGCTATTGGCTTGCACCCTGATGTACAAACCCCGGGGTGGTCAGCAGAAGAATTGTAGAAGGTAGCAAATAGCACTGGGAAAGAGGAAAGAGCATGTGTTGTCACACGACAAGGGCTACCTGACAGCACCTGACAAAATGTCTGGATTGTATTTGAACGAATTTAACTCTAATGATTCTGGTACGGGGAGTGTAAAAATGAAGGATAATGGGTAATTATCAGAGCTGAACTATTAAATCTAATGCTAAATTTAAATCCTTGTAACATGTTTGGTTGGGGCAGAGGCTAAAAAATTACAGCAAACAAGGTAAGGACCACTAATTTACTCTTAGAGAGGAAGTCAAAGAGTTCGGCCTGCAGCTACATGATCAACAAACCTATTCGCAGCTTATGGTATCTACTCTAGAAAGCAATAAACATTTAGGAGTAGTGCCATGGAGGGGACATATCCTCAAATGTCCAATGCTGTGCAGAAACATGAACCCAAGGTGGCTCCCAGGAAGCCTGTGGAAGCCAGGCCACCAGTCACGGCTGGGAAACAGTCACCAGATGCAGAGGGTGGCAGGCGTGCTCCAGACCACGCTGCAGGCTGAGACTAGACCAGACCGGCAGGAACTTTAGGTGTGCGAGTGTGTCTGCAAAGTGTGCGTACGGTAAAATAGAGACCTTAGGGTAGAATCCAGTAGCCACCTCCTATGCCCATCCCACTCGGTAAATAAATTTTAGAGTTTATAAAGTCAGCGAGCGGCGTGGTTCAAGCTTTAAGGCTGATAAGGGAACTTCGCAGTCTGACCATTCACGAAACTCTCTGGCACTCACACCCACAAGGCCAAAGACTTGAACTACTGGAACTGAAGCCGCTCGCAGCGGGCAGCTCCCATGACCCACGGGTGTCCCACTTGACTCCCTGCACACCCCACACTCACACGCAGCCAGACCAGGTTTCCTCACCGGTTCGACCGCAGGTTTCCCGCAGCAGAGTCGCATACGTCTGGTTCCATAAACCAATTTATTCACGGCGCAGGGACATAAAAACAGGTCGAGCTGAGGATTCCGAAGAGGCCCGCAACAAAGGAACCCCTGGGCTTTTATCCGCTCACAGTCCAAGGGCGCGCAAGTCTCGGTCTTCCTCCCCGGCGAACAAGGTCGGAAGTTCTCCTCCCCTGCGAACAAGGTCGGAACTCCTTCGCCCTGGCTGTGTCTCCCAGTGTCCATCCGCCCAGCTGGCGCCACTGGTCTCCATGCCTTTTGTTATTCGACAAGTTGGCAGTTCTCGGCTCCTGCTGGGTCTCTCAGTGTCCATTCACCTGGCTGGCATCGCCCGCCTTCGTGCCCTTTGTTAACCAAAGGCTTGGCAGTTCACAGCCTCTTCTCTCGGGCTCCCACCCAGAACTCAATCTGCATCTCAATCTGCAGCTTGCAAACCGAGCTACCTGCACCAAATGTATTCCTCAACAAGGCCACGTTCCTTTCTCGATGACAACTGTGTATAGCAATTTTAGCTGTTACTATTGAGGCTTTCCCTGTGCAGTAGTATTTTTTTATTTTGTTTTTCTTTGTTTTTCCGCAGTAATCAGATCTGAACTAATAATAATTCTTTGATTGCTATGATGAAATTTTATTCTTCCTAATCGTAAATTCAGAATTTACATATGAGATGTGATTTCATTTTGACCATAATAAAATCTTGAGTACAAAACACTACTCCTGTCTGAGCTTTGATTCTACACACTGACCCAACAGCCACAGGAAAAGATACCGGATTTATGTAAGGTAAAAAACTAAAGAACTTAGCAGCATATGATTGAATGGAAAAAAATGGCTCAAAGCTGCCCTGTTATTAATCATTTCTTTTTAATGTTTTAGTTACTTTATTTCCTCTTAATAAGATCTCACGTAAAGGAAGAAAAAGCCCACAAATTCCAATGCAGATTATTTTAATGAGATAAATTTGAAGGATAGCATTTCAAAGAAAGTAACAATTCTGCTGGGATGTGAGAAAGATTTTTTAATCTCACAGGATGAGTTTTTTTCTGATGCAAATAACGCGATAGTCCTTTTTCCTGTCCATACAGTTATGTGGTCAGCTGGTGAAGTGTGCTAATACTCTCAGTCCTCTGTTGTGTGCAACTGGCAGATAAATAAATTTATCTGCAAAGACCCTTGTGTAGTGACAGCAAGAGAACTCAACAGTCAAACTTAGAAGCCTAAAAGGTCAGCATGTAAATTCATACTCAGTCCCTCAGCCTTCGTACTTTGATATTTTAACCTGAAGAGTCAAAGGTTATTATAACAGCCTAGACGGTGTGAATCCACTTTGATCACTTTGATAAAGAGGGAAAAAAGGTCTTAACTGCTGATCAGCTGGAGACATGATAGGCATGATCAGATGCCTTTTGAATATCTGACTGTGAGAGCTGGAAGATGCCCTTCCATTTCTTGGTCTGCAGACCATCTTGGACAATTCAAAATAGATGTTCCTAGTTACAACAAAACTAATACAAAACAGATTTCTTCCTCCTGTGAAAGGGATATCTGCTTTTCCCTTTCTATCTTGCCTTACTATTGTTGTAAGCTGTTTATGCAAGTACTGCTATAATTTCTGCTTTAGCTACCTAACAGGTTAATAGAAAAGGGTAAATAATTCCAGGGGATAATCCATAGTATAAGTGGAAGCATTTAAAAAAATCACAGTGTTTCCTCGTGATTTGCAAAGCTATATCTGAGTCCTGAGATGTAGAATTCTTCTCCATGTATCAGAAACAGGCTGCAAGTACGGGTTTTAGTTCTGGAATGTGGAGCATGGCAGCTACTACCTACTACTTCTTAAATTACTAAACTGAGAAAAATAAGATGAATGCTAAACCCATGACAAGGTAGATATGTTCCTGACTGGACAGACAGAATGATTTGAGCAATGCCTTGGGGAAGTTAATCAGGGCAAAACTACAGCAGGTATTTATATACTGCCTGCCTAAATTTCCCCTGCTGTTTCAATTAAATTTTATTTTCAACTTCCTCCTGTTAAAACAATACTGTGTAGTATTGCTGTCCCAGAAAGAGCTGCTATTATCCCAAGGGAAACTGTATTTCACAGCAAGCCCAGCAATCTTTGTAGAGTCTCTCAGAAGTTCTTACTATGCTTCTGGGTACGTGTCTCTATAAAAATGCCAAGTACATAAAATATATATATAGTATGCAGTGCTGCCACTCTACTATTCATAAGAAGGAAAAAGAAAGTAGGTCAGTATGTGAAGGCACAGGACACTGGGAATGTTCCCAAATGCAGCTTCTGCTTAAGCCAAGTGAAGCCACACTGAGTATTCCAACTGAGGTGCTCCTTTTTGTCTGTAAGGATGTCAGACAGCATCAACTAAGAGATGCAGAGCACCAAAACCTTGATTTTGATTCATGAACTGAATGGAAATATAGATAGATTTCCCAATGATCTTACTGACTCTAAGATATTAGAATTGTTCTAGACAAAATCTATGGTAATATGAACACGGACATCTCTTCTTAAGATATCTGTAGGTAGTATATATATCCATATACCATAATGCATATAAGGCGTCTGATGGATTGTTGGGTTTATTTGCTTTGTTGTTTTTTTTTTTTAAACTGGCTATAATAGTAATAATGACTTCAGTGCTGGGCATTTCCTGAGGACTAATGACCGGCTGGGATTAATGACCTGAAATGTAGCCACAGGCCATCAGCTCATCCCAGCCAGCCATTAATCCTGTGGAACTACCAGTGCCTTTACTGTTATTGCTTAATTTAGTCTCCCTAATTTTAGTGTAGCTCTAAAAACTCTGCTGCAGCCACTGAGCACCTCTGTATTTTATTACTGCTGCATTTCTACTGCTGAGCATGGGTTGTTTTCCTAGCTGCTGATCAACTCAAAACACTGAATAGACTTTATTAAAAGTTGGTTATCAAGCTGCTGAGCATCTCCAGACATCTAAATATTTTATGTGTGTTTGCTTTGAGTGGCCCTGAGCAATTAATACATTGTTTCATTAGCAGGGTTTTTTACTAACAGCTAAGTGAACACTTAATACATTTCACAAGAAGTTTGTATTCCAGCCATTGAGCAGCTTTAAACACTAAATTGGTGTCATACTTTAAAAAAAAAAATCACTCAGTGTATACATTTCTCACAAGTAATTTCCTGTCTCTATCCTTCTAAACATTATTCTCTTATTTTACGAGGGGTCTTTTTCAGCTGATGCATTTCTATTTAGCTTGCTGGACCTCCAGTACATTTCATTCAAAAGCTTGGAGCTTCACTTGACTTTTCTTCCTTTCCATCGTGTAATACAAAGAAAAGAAAAGAAGACCCGTGGGAGGCAACATGGACCCCAGATTCCTTTTGGCAGCAAATTAAAGGATTAGAAAATATTTGTGTTATTCTGACCAAGACAATAATTCAGACTTTAAATTTAAAAATAATCTGTGGTGTATCCCTGCATATACAACCACCAGCAGCATGACAATCAAAATGACAGTGATTTAGTAGGTGCTCTTAATCATAGTTACAGATCTCCAGCCGAGTGCTGTCAACACCAAAATTGGCCAACATCTGCTCCTCGGGCATTTCAGCAGACAGATCTTCACGCTGCTCTATTGGGTTTGTGTGCCATGGGTTTGGTAGTGGGGGGGCTGCAGGGTTGGCTTCAGTGAGGAGCTGCTAGAAGCTTCACCTACGTCCAAAAGAACCAATGCCAGCTGGCTCCAAGATGGACTTGCCACTGGCCAAGGCTGAGCCCATCAACAGTGGTGGTAGCATCTCTGGGATAACAGCGATAAGAAGGGAGGAGTTATTGCACAACAGTCAGAGAGGAGAATGATAATATGTGAGAGAAATAACTCTGCAGACACCAAGGTCAGTGGAGAAAGAAGGGGAGAAGGTGCTCCAGGTGCTGGAGCTGAGATTCCCCTGCAACCCCTGATGAAGACTGTGGTAAGCAGGTTCTCCCCCTGCAGCCCATGGAGATCCACGGTGGGGCAGAGATCCACCTGCAGCCCGTGGAGGAGCCCACACTGTAGCGGGTGGATGGCCAAAGGAGGCTGTGACTCTCTGAGAAGCCTGCACTGGAGCAGACTCCTGTCAGGACCTGCAGAACCATGGAAAGAGGAGCCCACTCCTGTCAGCAAGTTTGCTGACAGGACTTGTGACCCCAGGGAGGACCCATAATGGAGCAGCCTGTTCCTGAACGATTGCACTTTGTGGGAAGGACTCACGTTGGAGAACAGAGGACTGTCTCCTGTGGAAGGGACCCCACAGTGGAGCAGGGAAAGGTGTGAGGAAACCTCCCCCTTCAGAGGAGGGAATGGCAGAGACAAAGTGTGGTGAACTGACTGTAACTCCCATTCCCATTCCCTGTACCCCTCCCCATTTTGCTGGGGGGGAGGAGGTGGAGCAATCAGGAGTGAAGCTGAACCTGGGAAGAAGACAAAGGTGGGAGAAGGTGTTTTTAAGATTTGGGTTTATTCCCCATTACTCTACTCTGATTTAAATGGTAATAAATTAAAATAATTTTGCCCAAGTCACATCTGTTTTCCCCGTTACAGTAACTGCTGAGTGATCTCTCCCTGTCCTTATCTTGACCCACGAGCTTTTTGTTGTGTTTTCTCTCCCGTGTCCAGGTGAGGAAAGGAGTGATAGAGAAGCATTGGTAGGCATCTTTTCAGGAAAAAATTACCAAGGAAATTTAAAAAAAAAAATATTAAGGGGCAGATAATCCTATTAAAAGGAGATTTCCATCTTTCTAAAATAATTTGAAAAACTTGTCCTAAGACATTGTAGGCATGGATTCAGAAGACTGGAGCATTGATATAACAAAATAAACACCTCTTTCGCAATTATTACCTCATAAGTAATATTTTTACAACTCTGCCTGATTGCACACTCCATCTTCTAACATATCATGGAAACTCTCTAACCATATCAGTTGGATTAACTGAATTCAAAATAAAGGTTATACTAGTACCTTAGAAATTATTGGTCCAAGTTGATGGCCATTGGGTAGAAGTGTATCCAATACAAATTTAGACACACTTTGCCAGGATGGACCAAGTGTGTTTTGATTTGTTAAAGTCTCCACAGGCATTCCTGATATTCAGCAATTCTGTGTTGGTTCTACAGGAAGAGTGGCAAGGCAATTTTTACATTCAAATGGCATTCAGTGCACTGTACTTCAAAACTTGGCAATAAGATATTGCCTTATAATGTTTGGATTGCTAGTTATACGCCAGCTTAGCTGCAGTATCTGTACTGATACACCTG